TTAAAAACCCCGCAAAAGCTGATAAGAAATAAGAATGCTTACGACTTATTAACAAAATGAATTACCAAAGTATTACTTTTTGTTGAATAAAAAACAAAAAACAAAAATGATAATAATAATACGTGTTTATTAGTTCTCATAAAAACAAAATCAACATGGTAAAGATGAGTTTTACGTTCGAATAGAACGGACAATCTGACAAAAGCAAGAACTGATAAACAGGGCAGAAAACAAATTTATAAAGATTTTTTAACATAAAAATTGGTATAAATTTCGCTGAACTGAACAGTTATTTTGTGTGCTGTATCAGATCATCGTGACAAATGTTTGCTGGGTGCGATATTTACACGGGTTTTCCGATGTAATATGCTACAGGCGAAGGAACTGACTTAGAATGACATCTTATCAAAATGGAAAAATTAGATTTACATTTCGGTGATATTTTTCGTATGATATGCATTTTGTTTGACGGGCCTCCTGTATGTTTTCAGGGAGGTAGCCACCAGCTACTACAAGGGGACCCCACCTCAAAATCGCAAAGGCTGTCATCCTCAATACGATCACTTTCGCTCTCTGCGCACCCGGAACATGAATGGTAAAATTGGAGGTTCCATGTACGACACCTTGTGGACAAGACGAAAAGACTGGTTTTATCCTTTGATATACATCAAACGAATCTCGAGGTCACATAACGGTATATTGTAATGGCTTCGAAGTTTGGTGTCGCGCCTTTGTAATCTTCAAAAAGGTTGTATCAGTTTGTGATTGGTCAGTTTTTGTCTCCTGGAACTAATAAAATCATTTCTCTTGTATCTTCAATTTTTCTATGACATGTTACAGGAGTGTAGAGACCTAAAGTGATCGTAACCCCTGGAGACACTGAACATACATTTCTTGACACCTATCTGGGAAGATGGCGGTCGTCATGCCATCATCGGTTTCGGCCATGAAGTTTATAAAATGCACACACACCCTCTAAAACACCATTAACTTTCACAATAAGCTAATGTGAAACCAGGTGTACCAGACAGGTACGAATCTCTCTAACATCTCTTATGGATGTGATAATTCTGCATTGCTTCAACAGGTATTTACCAACAATTTACTTTTGTGTATCGAGGATACTGGGTATTCACGGGATGATGAACCAAGCTAACAAACACACAAATATAGGTAATGTAAGCAAATATACTACAAAAGAAATGATGATATTTTCTTTTCCGTTGTTTTGCTGAAACAGAAAACAACAGGTTTGTATTACTAGGTTAATTTCTTCAAAATTATGCAATATTGTGTCGTTATGAAAAATATTGATGAATATTTTATGGAAAAGTTTTGACGAATTATCATTTTCAAATATGTTTATCGATATACTTACAATAATATTATAACTATACTATATAGGGTTTGAGATGGCTGTACTTGAACGCTAAGCTGTCAGGCACATCCCGGTAAGAGTATGCATGTACATGCATTGCATGCTATTGTGTGCCGTTTAGAGGTTGTAACGTACGAACAGATAGTGCTAGATGGAAAAAATAATGACAGATTTCCCATATGGAAAATCCAACTGTCATAAAAGACAGGTAATTACATACTTGTCGGATAGGATAAACACAAGAAAAGGTTATTTATACACAATGATAGGTGAGGTACAGGAATGCATGCTGGAAAAATAGATCAATTAGTCACATGTACAAACAGGTACATTGTGCAACAGCGGAAAATGCAAACAAGCTAGGAGTCCAACTTGTAAGGTCGCGCAAGACAAGCATGATGGATCCGACAGACATAAAACAAAGCTACTGCAGACTGTGAGCAGTAAATACTAGCCAGGTTTTTCAAATGTATATGTCAGCATCTTGCCAATTTCCGCAACAAATATCAATATTAAACGATGCTTATAATTGTTTTATTTTCGGAAACAGTTAAAAGAGAGGTACCAGACCTACCGCCCAGAATGAAACCTTGTAACCAGTAAATGCACTGAGTGGACCACGACGATGGATCTATGTCGAATGGTCTTTACGTCATAGAGCAAGTGCATTTTTCATGGCCTTGGTTTTTTCGGTAATTCGCATTTAATTAGAATTGTATTAATACTATATACATATTTAGATTTGTCATTACTTTATTCTAAGTATGACATAATTTGTCTTTCTGGCTATTCAAGATAATAATGAGTAAAATTTATTAAATTAACATAAATATACGAGTTGCTGGTACATATACACAAAAATATATGTGGTATGTTATTTGTATGCTTTACACGTTTCGTTCGGTTTTTTGTGTGGGGTTATTTTTCAAATCTTATTTCAATTTTATTAATTGTATGAACTTTCTTGCTTATGTTCGGTGAAGAATTCAATTATGAGTCTTCAATTTCTGTTTACAAGGTGTCTAAAATTTGGTTTGTAGGACGTAAACAATTAAAACATTTTCATTCCTATTTATATTCAACGAGATTTGTTATTCAGAATCCTTTACTTTAATCATCGATCGTCGTGAAGAAATCACACTTTGCTAATCGTAGTCAGATCAAGTTGCAAATTCTACGTTAGAATTTCTCTCAGAGAAGCCACCGAGGCAGATTTAACTAAATGCAGAAGTGAACACACAAACGCGCCACTAGCTTCTCGTGTTGGTATCGATTCTTTGCATAGCTACTTTTTCAAGAAATTTCTTTCCAACTGATATGAAAGGAAACTTTTTCCTACGGCCAAAGAAAACTCCCCGAAGAAAGAAATCAACTCCAACCAAATGAATTGTAATGTTTATCAAATGTACCGACATTAACCGAGAAAATAATCAAAGAATTCTTATTTCAGGTGTTATGGCGTTTTTAGTGTGGATCTTTTAACAGTATGACACAAATGATAAATGTAATTCTTAAATCACCGTTCCCCTTCCGCAAAAAAAGCTTTATAAACATACCGGAGGGAAAGACGTTAACACAGATAGGGCATTACAATAAAAAAAAATGCCAAATTTGGGTGGTCGGGTGGTGCAGTGGTAACGCCGTCTGAGTTACGATTCCCGGAACGGACGTGAAAAGGTGTCGGGTGGCTGTCCGACGACGTGAGTTTTCTCCGGATACTCCGGTTTCCTCCCACAGTAAGACCTCTGCGCTCTTCTATCCGTGCCGACAAGAGTGATTAATATAATCTTATACCCTGTTTCGCAATTGCTGTAAAATGGATCAAGTATAAATTTAAATAAACGTTCGATTGACAACGAAAAAATAGATGCTTTCTCGAGCATATCCTAATTTATTATTTGTCAAAAACGAAAAAAAAAACCCAAAATAAAAAAAAAAACTGCGTGTCAACTCCAACTTAATAAAACTGGAACAAGATATACACAAAATAAAGATTTACACGGAGCTTCCAGAAATAGAACAAGGAGAATAAGACCAGGTGTTCCCAAATAAGAACACGGTAAACAACAACAACATCAAACACATCCAACTGCATACCCCATAATAATCCCGATGATATCACTATGACAATCGTAAGGGTTCTCTATCAGTGTCATCGGCCTGCGTCTCTCGAAATCCTGTGTTGTCAACTTGTCCGTCAGGTGCTGATATCGTGTGCGAAAATCGTGTTATTGAGATGAAGTTCTTAAATATCGAATCAACTGCACATGTAAACACCATAGGTGTGGGATACAGGAATGTTGCTTTCTAAAAATGAGAAAGTTATTAATTAAATATTAAAATCATCACACTTACTATACAGGGGCCTGTAACTAGAAAACCACCTTAACACTAAGGGTAAGGGAACAATTTCAGGGGACGTTACGTAAAAAAATATGGGTGTAACTCGAAAGTCCCTTAACGAGCCACTAACTTTCCCTTTGGAGAATTTTTATATCTCGTAACAATCCCTTAAGACAAGATTTTGCGAGAACGATTAGGGAGAAATTTCCGGAGTCCGGGTGTTGGTTTCTTTCCTACAATGAATTTTACCAGCTCTGAATCTTCTGTGCGTTTTAGGACGCAGAGAATTTATCAAAGCTTTCAACTGATTATATTTCTATCTGGATACATCAACAACATGGCTTCCAATAAGCGAACACGAAAACCCAATTTCTCTGTAACTAAACTTATAGCATTAGTAGAAGTAGTGATGAACAACAGGGAAGTTATACTAAATTTTCTGACACAGTATCAAATGAGAATGGGTGAATATTACTAAAGCAGTCAACGCGGTAAGCAACAGTCTCAGAACGGTAGAAGATGTCAGGAAGAAGTGGCAAAATTGGGCCAGTGTTGTCAAGAGGCCAAACTGAAAAGAGAAAGAGCTAAAACAGGTGGCGGAACAATTGACGGCAATGTACTGAGTGAACTAGAGGATAAAGTGAGTAAGGTTCTTGGAGTTACAGTAGTACACGGCATCAGTGGCGACATCAATGACACATTCGATGTACAGAGGTTGGTGAAATGTTAAAAGCAATGATCTAGTACGCGTAAAACTGTATACAACTGTGTAGTAATTCTATCACCGAGCAATTATGTCATACTCATAATAAACAATGACGTCAACATTTGATCATTAAAACAGTAAGGTAGATTTATTTGTATTTTAAAAAAGTCCATTTTGTGATATTGATATCCCTATCAAGTAGCTTGGTATAAATAACTAAATAATTATATATTTTTTTATCTTTATTTTGAATACTTTTTGAAATGTTTGTAAGAACTTGTGTCCTTGATTACGTTTTCATAAATTATAAAAGACAATGTTTGTTTTTGAAATAAAGTTTAAATCAAGAAACACTCTGTTAATTAGTTGTTCCCTTACGTTAATCCCACTGTCGTTATCATCGAGGTTGTAGATTGTCTCGTCGTTGTCATCATCATCCATGTCTTCGATCTCGGGCAAAGGGGGATTTTTCTCTATGCAGATATTGTGCAAAATTGCGGTTGCAATCACAACAGCAACTGCTATCTCCGTTGCCAAATGAAGTGGTCGGTAGATACAGCGGAATCTCATCTTTCATAACCCAAATGCACGTTCAATTACACAGCGTGTAGATTTGTGACAGACATTATACTTTCTGTCGGCGGGGGTTCTTGGATTCAATTTTGAAGTTAGTAACCATGGTCGTAAGCCGTAACCACTGTCACCAAGCAACCATCCTCCAGTTATTTCTTTGTCTTCAAACGCAGCAGAGAGACCACAATTTGTCCATATAAATAAGTCGTGTGTTGTACCAGGCCATTTTGCCACAATATTGAGAAATTTCAGTTTAGCGTCACACACTCCTTGGATGTTCAAGGCGTGAAATCCTTTTCGACAAACATAGTGGTATTCATCAATGGAAGGTGTTTCAATGGGTATCAAAGTACCGTCTACAGCTCCTAAGACACTCGGAAATCCACGGATATTGTAGAAATCTCGTTTAACCTTCAGCTGTTCCGGTATATCCATGGGGAACGTTATATATTTGTCCAAATGCAAGGTAATCAAACCAGTGAAGGTTTTAATTGTTCGAGATACTGTCATTTTACTGACTCCATGTGCTTCACCGATTACCGACATATAACCACCACTAGCAAAACATCTTAATGCAATCATGATTTGAAGTGAAACTGGAAGAGACATACTTCTCCTGGTAGGTCTCTCGAGTTCCTCTTCAAAAGTATTACACAGCTAATAAATTGTTCGTCTGTCTAAGCGATAGTCTGAAATAACTGCATCATCGCTCAGGTAATCCAGCGGATTACTTCTGTCGCGAAATAAACGTCTCGGAACGTCCTGATCGCGGTTCAGAAGGACTAAAATCGCCATTTTGTTTGCTCTAAGGTAGCCTAGTAGTTTCCTTAGCTTAAGGGCAAGCACAAAGTCGAACGAGAGCTTCTAGTTACAGGAAATCATCCGTTAAAAATGCCTAAGGTGATCTTTGTTTACTCTTTGGACTAACGAGGACATAGAGTTACCCACTTAGTTAAGGCAGTCGTAAGATTCCTTTACGTCAACGTTAAGAGATGTACAGTTATTTGTATCTTTTTACCGTCATACCCTTAGCGGTATACCTAAGATCCCTTCTAGTTACACCTTAACACGCAAAGATAATGTTAAGGCAAACTTAAGTATTAAGGGGGCTTCTAGTTACAGGCCCCTGCTTGGTAACAAGTTGTCCTTGTTGATTCTGTTGAAAGAAAATGTCGAGATAAGCAGTTGATATAGGAGAGTCTGTAATGTCCCTGATTTTCAATTCAGGTGGGATTTAGTCAATACTTTTTTTTAAAAATTTAATTTAATCTTATTTTTTTTTCAATTATAAAAATCTACAAGTGAATTGAATGATTTCACAAAGTCTATGTTGAAATGTACCCTAACATTTTAGGAACTATTACAGTTTTGTCTCTCAGAATGGCATATCCATATAAGTATTTATTTAATTGATTTATGGTAGAAACCAAATAAGTAAAATTTGTTCTACAACCAGCATTGTACAAAGTCAATTAAAACATCCTGGTTATAAGTAATAAAAAAATGTCTATTTTGGAAAATGTCAAGAAGATATGATATGGAAACGTTCTGTGACATTTTGAGAAATTGTCCTTTGATGTTTTTCGCTGTCGTTGAAATTATTGTCTTCCTGTCTTAAAAGTTAATAAAGCAGCAATATTTTGTTCCTTCAGTTACAATGCAGACTACAAGTTTTGAGTGTTCAGTACGCTCATAATAGTATTTTAAAGGGATGAAATTGCGTTATGTTTACCTTTTGACATTTAAATTTCTATTTTCTAGTTAAGTTATTTAGCTACACTGTCATCGTTTCAATATAATTATTTTCTAAGTGACGTTGTTAGCATCTATTTAAAACGGAAAGTCTCTGAGCGTGTTGAAACTGACGACTGTTACTTATCGACGAGACTGTATTATCAGTTACGCCAATCGATTACCGTCTCTATTCTAGACCAATTTATCTCTCCGATTCATATACTCGTAACATTGCATGTTTATGAACAGTATTTCGAGCAATACTGATACAACTTTTGAACAGAGCTATGTATCATAATCGAATGAATTTTGTCTACATGGTATGGTTACGTGATTTTCACCCTCTTGTCTTTCTGATAGTACACTGCATGTAAAATACCATTGTGACACAACGTTGAAATAAACGAGCTCTCAGCTCTTTTAGTCAGGTATAAACATTTTGTTAACAAGTCGACTGAAGATATACTATTTCAAGAAGAATGAGTAACTGTTGGCAGGTACAGAAAGCCTGCGTATATCTGGTTCCCCTGGCGTTTGACTACCGTGTTTCCAAACAGTTAGTGCTGTGTTATGGAGGGCATGAGCATGTCTGTCAATGTCTGGGAGACCTCATTTATGAGTAGTATACTCAGTCAGATAGTCATTGATTTCCGAATGTATGTTTTCTAGGGGTTGAGGTTTGGGGTTGGGGGAGGGGGATGTCAGTATATCGGGGTTACAAGGGTCAGAATGAGAGAAACTGAGAATGTAGGGATGCCAGAACGTGTCAACATCTCTAATAGACATTGTAATATATATAGATAGTGACTGTTATCCTTTATATTTACACGTACCTTTTCAGTGACGTAGACAACTCACTACACCTGCTCCACGCTCCAGAAAATGCTCACCGTATCCATCATACATTTAATACATACACATATTGTACGTTAACTTATACTACACCTGCTCCACGCTCCAGAAAATGCTCACTGTATCCATCATACATTTAATACATACACATATTGTACGTTAACTTATACTACACCTGCTCCACGCTCCAGAAAATGCTCACCGTATCCATCATACATTTAATACATACACATATTGTACGTTAACTTATACTACACCTGCTCCACGCTCCAGAAAATGCTCACTGTATCCATCATACATTTAATACATACACATATTGTACGTTAACTTATACTACACCTGCTCCACGCTCCAGAAAATGCTCACCTTATCCACCATACACTTAATACATACACATATTGTACGTTAACTTACGGACTACATACCACAATACATTAGATAAAATAACGAAATTCGTACATTATATTAAAATAATTTAGAAACAATTACATTATCTGTATATTTCTAAGATCGATATTCAGAATGTGACGTCACTTGGATGTTCCGTTAGTAGACGGCAGGTGTCGCGGATACAACAGAAGATGATTGTGTTGAAGTGTTAGTAATGTTATATCAGGGACGTATGCTGGTTATACTTTTAACTGAATACGGTTTTTACTACTGACAGTTATTATCTAAATATTTGCCTTTTTCCAACAAATTCTGTTCTAATTTAAGTGTGTTATATTCAAGTTTGATCTCCCTCTCTATCTTAAGTAATAAGCTAATATATTTTATACTTACAATAGTGAATGACATTCTTAACGTTGTTTTAGATGAAAAGTACGGGGTATTCCCGTTTAATGCAGGTTATTGCTAAGTTTGGAGTATTGCGTGGTAGCATATGGCCCGAAACACAAGAGGAGACACGGCACGGATTTCAGCAAAGCTAAATTTTTACAAATGGGAAAATCAGTATTGATTTAAAACTTTCATACTAAAATATTTTATAAATAATGACCAAAGTGTTTATTTGTACGATATGTATGTATATAAAAACACACATTGCAGAAAAGTAGGTGTACTTTTACCGTAAAACTGGTGTACATGAAGACGGGCTTTACTACTTCTGTTATAGAGACTACTGATTATCATCTTCCACGTGTAATTGCATCAAGGAGACAGCGAAGAAAAGAAACATAACTCAATGGACGAGAATCATTTTATTTCTGTAAAAAAAAAACTGACATCGATATCGTAGAGATAAGGCTAGATTAAAAAGTTTCAAATCCAACGTTCAGAATACAGAGTAACTCTAGGGTATAGCTTATAGCAGTGATACAAATCTGATAATCATAGACATTCGGATCGTGATGATTATAATGATACACTGGAATCAGTCTTAACCGGACACATTTGGGACCGAATAATTTGTAGAGAGTTCCGGATTGTAGAGAGTCCATTGTTATAATATTATTCGATTTGAGACTTAATTATTTTACCGGAAAAGGCAGATATCTTGATTGCACAGAGTCCGGTTTAGACAGAGTCCACTGTATCATTATCAATAAGGTCCGTTCCGGTGTCCTGTGATATCGTTGTTCCGGTGTCCTGTGATATCGTACGTTCCGTTGTCCTGTGAGATCGTAGTTCCGGTATCCTGTGATATCGTACGTTCCGGTGTCCTGTGATATGTAGTTCCGGTGTCCTGTGATATCGTACGTTCCGGTGTCCTATGATATCGTACGTTCCGTTGTCCTGTGATATGTAGTTCCGGTGTCCTGTGATATCGTACGTTCCGGTGTCCTGTGATATGTAGTTCCGGTGTCCTGTGATATCGTACGTTCCGGTGTCCTGTGATATCGTACGTTCCTGTTTTCTGTGATATGTAGTTCCGGTGTCCTGTGATATCGTACGTTCCATTGTCCCGTGAGATCGTAGTTCCGGTGTCCTATGATATCGAACGTTCTGGTGTCCTGTGATATCGTAGTTCCGGTGTCCTGTGATATTTAGTTCCGGTGTCCTGTGATATGTAGTTCCGGTGTCCTGTGATATCGTACGTTCCGCTGTCCTATGATATCGTAGTTCCGGTGTCCTGTGTTATCGTACATTCCTGTTTTCTGTGACGAGCTCGTAAGCAAGTATACATATCACAAACATATTTTGAGCAACGTATAATATTGAATCTGGCAAGTGGGTTGGTTTTATCTTTTGACGCTGGTGGCTGCATCATAAACTAGTTTAAAAGCATAATTTCTCTCTTTTAATTTGATCTAAATCTACCACAATAGTGGGCTTTCTATCGCTAATTACCAATCAATAAGGTTTAATACAGACAATGTAAAACAGCTGCCTCAAAAGGTAAAACGCATTATCTTTCAATTTGGATGCACATACAGAAAATGCAATGTAAAACGGACAAAACAGCCAAATTGATACTTCGGAATCTCTCGAAGGTTAGTGAACGGGAGAGTGCATACGAATAACATGTATAAATGATACATTAAGTAGGGCATATACAGATAAATATCATAGGAGTACAATTATAGATAATCATAGGTTATATAAATAATAATAAGGATGATACAGAAAAAATGATATGTAATAGAATGATAAAATAATATATCATACGTTCTGGAATCACAGGTGCTTGAATCGAATTATATCCCGCCAACCAAATATACACGTCGAGTGTAAACTATTGGACTCAGAATCCCTCATATACCGACGAAGTTCTGGACTCACTTCAAAGTGTACGGAAAACTAAAACGATATTCTCCACGTGTGTAATCATATATCACAAATATGATTTTAAACTATATCACGTTGTTAACTTAAAAGGTATCACGTGATGTTTAAGATAAAAGAATGTCTATTGACGTCACGTGCGAAGCACTGTAAAGAGAATATCACAGGAATTCATGAGGGTGGACTGCAATACTGTAAGGATTGTTAAATCCCTTGGCCAAATTACAATCCTTATTTGGCAGTACCACGTGACGAGGAAAGGATAGCGATTGGTTCTTTGAAATTATAATCGATCTTTCGATTTACATATAATTTATACGGGAATCCATTACAAAGGGATTTTACTACAGTAGGAATAACTTCGCCTGTCACAAAACACACATATATCCTCACATCCACCCAGATCAGGTCATTTTAGGCAAAGTTTTCTCAAGTCAAACAAACGGAACCTTGGAATCCGTCTGGAGGAATCGCTGGTAAATATCATCCCATATAAGGAAGTCTTTATTTGAATCTTAGGTATCATTACTGCTCGCCCCGCTGTCATTTCGATATCATCACCATTTTGAATTCTAAAACATAGAATAAACAGAAACCGAAGGGAGTTAACTCTGTTACAATGATAGACGCTGCGGGTCTGCCAAAAACAAACACAAAGTACTTATCATAATATTAAATTGATAAACGATGTTTAGTATGAAGTATACATGTTGTTTACTTCGTCTGAATATGAACTCGTTTGGTATTAACAAGCATGAAACCAAATCACCATTATACACAAGTAGTTAAGATTTATATCTCGTTATTTTATTATAAAGTGTATCAATCGATATTGATTATTATAAATTTGTCATCGATATGTTACATTATTTATTTCTGTTATTTTAAAGTTTATATCAAAAGAATTCTTTTAATTGAGAAAGCATATAAATATTGGTGAAAACAAACAAAAACAAACTCTGTCAAAACCAGATTTCTGTTTCAGAGACATTCAAATTACATTTGCTGTTGCTTTGAAACCTCAAATGAATCTGTATCAAAAAGTTATCAACTTTAGAAATGTTTTTCTTTTCATATTTCTATTATGCCTCAATGCGAGTAAAATTACTTTTCCTTACGAACTCAGTTAAATATCATTCTTCTACTATTTTTCAAAGCAGACAAAGTGTTCTTTAATAGCAAGATATTTGTGTCTTTCTTGATGATTTGCAAAATGATTTACGGGGTAAAGGGGGATTACTCCCACAAACAGAAAAAAAAACAATAATTCGCTTTAAATTCCGTTTTCCAGCTCTCGGACACCTTTAAGTCAATAGAAAAAAATATAACCCCATTCTTTTGTTCTACATAAAGTCCCGTCCCTCCCTTTTGTCACGCAGGTCTAACACATCCTGCCCACCCTCAAACGATCACACCATTTAGTGAGACCTTCCTTTCCGTCAACCTGTACACCCTTACCATGGAAATTAATGAGACCGTCCCCGTTCAGGTCCGCCTCGATAATCATCTCCTTTATCTGTGTGTCCGTCAGTTTTTCTCCAAGAGCAGTCATCACCTCTGTTAATTCATCTTCGTCTATCATTCCATCGTTGTTTTTGTCGAACATTCGGAAGGCTTCTCTGAATTCTTCCTCTGCATCTACTCTAGAACTATTATGCATCATGGTAAGGAATTCGTCAAAATCTATAGTTCCATTTTCTGAAAAAAAAACTCGAAAAAATCAGCTATGTCAATAATTGTTAAACGTATATTGGAGTTGGCGGTTGCAGCATAAATTCCCTTGGGCAGAACTCTGGCACTCCATCTGCTTTAGGCTGTGTGACAACAATTAATGGGTGATTTAGTGCTGTAACAAATTCGCCGTCAGATGGCGCTACTGTCGAGGTTTGCACAGAATAGCAACTTTTAATACAACTTTCGAGTTAGCTACAGCAGAGCCAAGCAACAATTTTTACTGCATCAAACAGCTATTTCGTCCTTCTATGGCTCGTCAGTGATGCTAAATGCCGAAATTGTGAACCCTATTATAGCTGAGGAAAATCAAAATGATCGACAGTGAAGCTAAACTCTAGAACAGAGAAAACTAGCCCAGTTTTTCAATGAATTTTGTAATTTTGATATATCTTGTAATATAAAAACAACGTCAAGTACATATAATGGCGGCTAGTTACGTGTTTTCATCAGTAAGACGATTTATTAGCAAACGATGGTTTATTACAATTTCAGACCCGTAAATAACAAGGAAATTATAAAATTATAAAACAAATCATAACCCCAAATCAAATTCAATAATAATTAACCAAAATATGATTTACACAGGGATTTCTGAAAAAGTACAAGGAATTGTTTTACTGTCCGGAAGAGTAAGCGCCTTCTGCTTCATCGACGACACCTGCCATGTGAATCTTGGTTGTAAATCTTGTTGTAAGTAGACACATTATAAAACCAACAGGAAAGCTAACTAGCATCAAACGCGTCAAACTACTCTTTCCTCCGATGACAGGCTATAGCAAGTCATCATTCAAACTTCAACCATTACACATAGTTCACAAACCAATTCTGTCCTATCGAATTTTTTTAATGTCAGTTTCTGTTTTGCAGTCGCTTTCGAAAGTCGAAGGGAGACAACTCGTACAGTCACTCGTCTGATACGGTAGATTTTCTCCGAGTATACACGCAGCAGACATTAATAAAAGTTCCACTATCATGTAAAATCAAAACAAGAAATAAAATCAAAACAGATCAACGGCAGATTGTCAGCATAACTTGTTATATAAGGGATATCTTATTATGTCTTCATTAAAAAAATCTAGCATGGAATGATTATTGGTTAAATAATAACAAACATAATTCGCGATATCGATATCGTTTGTTTAAAAAGGCCTGGTATCACTGAAAAACCATCAAATATAAGACATGCAAGCAAAACATATTTTTCTGGTATACCGCGATAAATTTTAGCCGATCTGTCAAATTCCGTTACAAACTTCCTCTCCATCACTTATCTGAAAGATTTTGTTAAACAGAGTTGATGGTTTGGCGAGAAGAATGATTTACATACTGTTCACTTTACTGTTTACATATCGTAAAATATGAATAAAATGTCGTGTAAATATCGGTAATTTTTGCAAATTTACGGTTTTATTACTTTGTGAGAGATATCCAAAGAACGACAGTAAATACACTGTTTGGCTATTAAATGGGGGATGAAATCATTTGAAACCTGTTTTGTTGCCAATTTGTGAAGAAAAGTTTCAATCGTATTTAAAACTGAACTAACCTTTGTTACAAAAGGAATAAATATTGAACAATAAAAAAATAATTCCAAATGAAGTTAATATTGTATGACACGGTGTATTGTTCAATACGACACCAGAGTTATCTTTCCTAACATTTAGTGATTTAAAATAATAATTACTGTTGAAAAATACAGAGGAAATAAAAAAAAATATCAATAAGCAGATAAAAAGATAGAAATATATGATATTTACCATCAAGGTCAATCTCGTTGATCATATCCCTAATCTCGTCGTCGGTGGGATCTTGGCGTAGTTTGAGCATCACACTTTTCAGTTCTTCCAGAGTGATCTTTCCGTCTTTATTTTCGTCAAACAAGTCGAATGTCTCTTTATAGTCTGTCGAAAGAAAGACTTCGTAGAAGAATGTACATCACAGGGTATACAGTATTCAACGTTTTTCAATATGTCTCGGTATATTGTACAGTAGAACCTCAAGCGTTATAGCCTGAAGGTTCCTCACAGCAACCCCTAAAAATGTAGGGCAAGCAGGGATTTGGGCCTTATGGTTTCTCATTGTATCCCAGTACATAGGACCACCAGGGTTGTGGCCTGATGGTTCCTCACTGTATCTCAGTACATAGGAATACCAGGGTTTGTGGCCTGATGGTTACCCACTGTATCTCAGTACATAGGACTACCAGGGTTGGGGCCTGATGGTTCCTCACTGTATCTCAGTACATAGGACTACCAGGGTTGGGGCCTGATGGTTCCTCACTGTATCTCAGTACATAGGACTACCAGGAATGGGGCATGACGCTTCCTTAATGTATCTCAGTACATAGAACTACCAGGTTTGGGGCCTGATGGTTCCTCACTGTATCTCAGTACATAGGACTACCAGGGTTTGGGCCTGATGGTTCCTCACTGTATCTCAGTGCATAGGACTACGAGGGTTGGGGCCTGATGGTTCCTCACTGTATCTCAGTACATAGGAATACCAGGGTTTGGGGCCTGATGGTTACTCAATGTATCTCAGTACAAAGGACTTCCAGGGTTGTGGCCTAATGGTTCCTCACTGTATCTCAGTACATAGGAATACCAGGGTTTGGGGCCTGATGGTTACCCACTGTATCTCAGTACAAAGTACTACCAGGGTTGGGGCCTGATGGTTCCTCACTGCATCTCAGTACATAGAACTACCAGGGTTGGGGACTGATGGTTCCTCACTGTTTCTCAGTACATAGAACTACTGGGGTTTGGGGCATGACGCTTCCTTAATGTATCTCAGTACATACAACTACCAAGTTTGGGGCCTGATGGTTCCTCACTGTTTCTCAGTTCATAGAACTACTGGGGTTTGGGGCATGGCGCTTCCTTAATGTATCTCAGTACATATAACTACCAGGTTTGGGGCCTGATGGTTCCTCACTGTATCTAAGTACATAGAACTACCAGGGTTGGGGGATGATGGTTCCTCATTGTATCTCAGTGCATAGGACTACGAGGGTTGGGGCCTGATGGTTCCTCACTGTATCTCAGTACATATGACTACCAGGGTTGGGGCCTGATGGTTCCTCACTGTATCTCAGTATATAGGACTACCAGGGTTGGGGCCTGATGGTTCCACACTGTATCTCAGTACATATGACTACCAGGGTTGGGGCCTGATGGTTCCTCACTGTATCTCAGTACATAGGACTACCAGGAATGGGGCCTGATGGTTCCTCACTGTATCTCAGTACATAGCACTACCAGGGTTGGGGCTGTTGGTTCCTCACTGTATCTCAGTACAAAGGACTACCAGGGTTTGGGGCCTGATGGTTCCTCACTGTATCTCAGTACATAGGACTACCAGGGTTGGGGCTGGAGGTTCCTCACTGTATCTGAGTACATAGGACTACCAGGGTTTGGGGCCTGATGGTTCCTCACTGTATCTCAGTACATAGGACTACCAGGGTTGGGGCCTGATGGTTCCTCACTGTATCTCAGTACATAGGACTACCAGGGTTGGGGCCTGATGGTTCCACACTGTATCTCAGTACATAGGACTACCAGGAATGGGGCCTGATGGTTCCTCACTGTATCTCAGTACATAGCACTACCAGGGTTGGGGCTGTTGGTTCCTCACTGTATCTCAGTACATAGCACTATCAGGGTTGGGGCTGTTGGTTCCTCACTGTATCTGAGTACATAGGACTACCAGGGTTTGGGGCCTGATGGTTTCTCACTGTATCTCAGTACATAGGACTACCAGGGTTTGGGGCCTGATGGTTCGTCACTGTATCTCAGTACATAGGACTACCAGGGTTGGGGCCTGATGGTTCCTCACTGTATCTCAGTACATAGGACTACCAGGGTTTGGGGCCTGATGGTTCCTCACTGTATCTCAGTACATAGGACTTCCAGGTTTGGGGCCTGATGGTTCCTCACTGTATCTCAGTACATATGACTACCAGGGTTGGGGCCTGATGGTTCCTCACTGTATCTCAGTACATAGGACTACCAGGGTTGGGGCCTGATGGCTCCTCACTGTATCTCAGTACATAGGACTACCAGGGTTTGGGGCCTGAGGTTTCCTCACTGTATCTCAGTACATAGGACTACCAGGGTTTGGGGCCTGATGGTTCCTCACTGTATCTCAGTACATAGGACTACCAGGGTTGGGGCCTGATGGTTCCTCACTGTATCTCAGTACATAGGACTACCAGGGTTTGGGGCCTGATGGTTCCTCACTGTATCTCAGTACATAGGACTTCCAGGTTTGGGGCCTGATGGTTCCTCACTGTATCTCAGTACATATGACTACCAGGGTTGGGGCCTGATGGTTCCTCACTGTATCTCAGTACATAGGACTACCAGGGTTGGGGCCTGATGGCTCCTCACTGTATCTCAGTACATAGGACTACCAGGGTTTGGGGCCTGAGGTTTCCTCACTGTATCTCAGTACATAGGACTACCAGGGTTGGGGCCTGATGGTTCCTCACTGTATCTCAGTACATAGGACTACCAGGGTTGGGGCCTGATGGTTCCTCACTGTATCTCAGTACATGGGACTACCAGGGTGTGGGGCCTGGGAGTTCTTCACAGCGTATCATTCATTATTCATTCAGTATAAAACTTTATAACTAAACCAGTAAAGTTCATCATAAAGTGATGATTTGACATTTCTTTCCTATGAATATTCTGAAATGATGTTGCTAGATCTACAATGACAATAGTTTGCAAAATTTTGAGTATTTGGAAATCTTAAAATACTTCCCGAGCATTCGTTTTTCGAAATAGAAAAAAATAGTTAATGAAATGATACAAAAGTATATTGTACGCATAGATGGTTTTGGAAATTACAAAACTGTAGCGTTTACATGGCAGTATGTCATGAAATTGACATGAAGAATGCGTCTACTGACGGCATTACGTCACTTCCGGTATCAAACATGTGATTAGACTTGATAAGAACGGACTTTCCAGTTAATCAGCGATAACCATTTTTCTTTTTTTTCCCTTCTTTATTTTAAAATTTTTTCTTATTGTTTTCCCGTTTAGTCCATGCTATTTTTTAGTACTAAAGCTTTCTATTTTTAAAATTTATTTCTACTTTAGCTTACATATATTTCTTATTTGAGTAAAGCAGAGATCGCGTTGTTAAAACATAATTGTTATACGGTAAGTAGGATTAGCAATACGTGTGTATACATATCAACAGTTACGCCTTCGGAGAAATGTATACATTCGTTTGTATGATGAGTCAGCAAGCGAAGTCACGTGATACTGAAATTTATCATTGATTTCATAAACATGAACTTTAAATGGTAGAATTTCATTATAGCATTATGATATTTAATTCAAACTTTCCACACATATTTATGCGATAGTGTGTATTTTTATTACTTGAAAGTTCGTAATATCAACATAGTCTTAATTCAGGAACATTCAATGTGTATTATGTCGGTCAGAAAAACATTTCTTGTGCTTTAAAAATAAGAAATATTTTATCAATTCTCAAACAGTGGGGAGGGGAATAAATGTACAGGTTCTTAAGTTAATGTATTTTATTATTTACATGCAGTGACTTTGATCACAATGCAATTAAATTGACTTCTCAGCTGGAGAAAATAAAATGCAAATAGTTATTCAGCATCAACCCTGGATACAATACGATTGATCCGAGAGGAAAAATATTCTAAAGACAAATTTAAATAAAAGAAAAAGAGTGAAATGATCGTAAAAGTGTATGATTCACACGTACTCAACAATGACTGGAAAGTACAATATCATGTATTCTCATAAGTGAGTGTTTTGACCGAGTGTACATTGGGCGGGTACGATGCAGACGACTCTATTAGCATTGCTGTGTGTACAAGGTGATTTACATCAATATAGCCTTGGGTCACCGTTTATACGGAAACCAAGATTAGTCTCGTGATAGACATATTCTTAAGATCCAATTCACTACCACGTGATTTTAAAGTAATGAATATGCGGAAGTCATTTTACAGTTAAAATTAGCGTTGAAGAGTTAACTAAATCTAATAGAGTGTTACTTTTCAAATAACTTATATATATATACATATTGACAAATGTGGATACGAAAGCTGCTTCAATCTAAAATCTAAATTCTACACTTATTTTCTGTTGAAGTTCATGTTAGTAAGTTTTAAAGCGATGACTCATATTTCAAATATATTTTTGTATCCCGTTTGTCAATTATCGCATTCTGAAAACTGGTTGTCAAACTAGCATTTTAACAACTTCACGTCATATTTCTTGCAGAAAAATTAATGAAGACGAAATAAATATTAACAAATTTTACCATGAAAAGTTATTTATCAAGATAAAAATATCCGTTGACGTCTCGTGACTGTCTTTATCTAACGAAGTTCGTGTGTGTTCCCTGTGATGCTTCGGTGAATATACATTTTTTTTTAATTTTAAGAGTAGTGAAAACCGGATTAGGTTAGGTAGTCCTATTTTTACTTATTCGCCATAGTCACTCAACGATAGCAGAGGACAGCAGAAATAAACAAATTACATTAAAAGAACTTACAGGGCTTTCCCTGGTTTTAGAAGTTATTCTGACGCTTCTATTCCAGACTCACAAAATGAGAAGCTAATGTTTCAAGTTCATTAAATTTCTACCAACATTTGAAAATATATGTTACTAATTACCCGGAAGTAATGATGTTCTATCACAAAATCAATGTACTTTTCAATTTTCATGTCGGTACACGCAGATCGATAAATCAACAACATCTACCCGGAAAAGAAAAGGACAACTCCAATACATGGAGCATACATACGTGACGGGTCCCTGTTCAAGGTCTCTTGCTCATGATCATGTACAAAGAGTGTAGAATTCTATTCTTACCTGCCAATTTTTCTGGTGTTATATCGTCAAGACCAGCCTGCAAAACAAGAAGTGTATCAGATGTGAGAAAACTGGAAACTGGTAAACTTCTTGTAAATTTACAAAGTCTCACAAAGTAACCTTGTAATCAAGCCAAATGCTGGGAGGAAGGTGTGAAAGGATCGAAGGTATTTCGTTGTACAGAACAAACACGTGCAACTTCTGTTGAACATATGTACGGGATGTATTTCTCGGTCTGTTTCACCCATTCCAATCGGCTAAAATTTCCTCCTCGCCCATATTTGGAAAATTCGGAGATATCGGTGTCGTAGAGAGATTTTCGAATCGTTCATTTAACCTCATCCATTTCGACATGGTTTTACCTTCAGTCAATCTAGAGTCATCATTGGCTATTGAAAATTATAACTGTAGCCTTAAAGTGTTGCAGAAAAAAACAATGTATATCAGGCTGCCTCCTCTAACGAGAGAAATGAGGTTGATATCTTGGTTTTTTTCACAGCTTAATTTGCCAACATGCTAACGGTGAGATTGGGGTCTTTCTGTTTTTTGTATTTTTTTTTGGAGTTTTTGGGGTTTTTTCGGGTTGGGGATTGGGTTTTTTTTTGGGGGGGGGGGGGAGGGAGGGGGAAGGGGGGATTGTTTTGTTTTTTTTTGTTTTTTTTTTTTTTGTTTTTTGTTTGTTTTTGTTTTTTTTTGTAACAAACTTGTGTGACGTCTCATTTAGATTGCAAACCAAATATCTCAAATTATCAGCAACGTCATACCCAGGTGGTCAAGATCAACATCTATATCTATCTTTTTTCTAATCAAATTTATTTATTTATTTGAGTTTCCATACCTTCACAATTGATAAGATGCAAATTCAACTATCACTGGGATATGAAATAATGACAGAAAATTTTAAAATACAGTATAAAAGTAATTGGATTTCTACTTTTTACAACATAGAGATATCGACATTTGTCGGTAATAAAATCACGTCATGCTTTGTCTGTTCAAAGGCGATTTTATCATAATATGGTCTTAACTGTCAACAGACTCGTATCAAATGTCATCAAAACAAAACCTTCTTCTCTAGAATAGTAAGGACAACAATAGATCATCGTAAAGCCGGATATTACATGATAATACAAAAATAAAACGTGATACGCGTCCTTTATTGTACACCGAGCCAATCAGATAACCCTTTTTACTTATTTGTTTATCTGGGAAACAGAAAAGACGTTTAGATGCCAAGTTGAATCGCCTTTCCCGACCATGCAGACAACATACACGATTATTACTCCTTACCACTGTCCCAGGTGGTTCTTTGATTTGAATATCGTATCTGATTTTGTTTGGAGTTTTAAGTATATTTTCTCCGTTCCCTTGTGTACAATTTCACTACACATATACTGTACATTTTATACATAAACCCATTACCACGCGTGTTACTGGGGAATTTCGATACAAAAATTTTTTCCCCAAAAAACCATGTTTACTAAACTGAAAGTTTGTGGATACAGTACATATGTATGTATATATACATGTGTGTGTGTGTAGTGTGGGAGTAAATATCGCTAATGGAAGAGACGTAACTTAAACAATAATATCGTCCAGTGATATGTATGTAAACAAACATCCCTAGTCGACTGAGGCAGTTCCCTACAGGAGATATTATGTAAGCCCATCATGTATCGCCTCTGTCATTACGATACACCTATTAACACATGCTGATGTTAATACTGTGCTGAATGGTATACACAACTTATATATCTCCCTCATATCTGATGCAAAAATATCTGCATTGACAGAATATTTGCATATTTTTCATGACCAACATAATCGATTATTGAAATCCTGCATACACGTGCGATGCACGCGCGTCGTATAAATGAACATCTGATCGTAATGGTAGTGTGCCCTAATCTTCTATTTTGCCTAAAGGCTGTAAAGACCTAGATCACTGTAATCTGTGCGAGATACGTTAAATGAAGGCACACATGTGAGCAAAACAAACAAACATCCACGTAGTTTGGTGTGAAGTTGTTGGCTCAACACGAGACCAAAGGTGAGAGTGTTACTGATAGCTTTATCATTAGGTATAGTACGGTATGCCCATCTAGCACATGTTGGCACGCAGAGGCAGATTCCAACGAAACTCTCTGCCCCGCTCTTGTTTTGTATTAAACTCACATTCTTACAAGCTTAACCAGTTATAAGTTCCCAATTGCCACCACTAGAAAATAATCTTTTTATCTGGAAAGAACACAATTTATAATAAAAACGTGTCTGAAGACATAACACACACAGCACGGTTAGTTGATAAATGTCCGCCCCCGACCTAGACAGATTATAGGTATCGATGTATATATATGTCGTTAAAACTCCCGAACACATTTAGCGGACTGTTCCCCATATCATCAACACATACAAGTCATTAACATATATTACTTGTAATTGTCTATATGTTTCTCAAGACTTACACAGGTCAAATGTCATTGCACTTACCATGGCGCGTGCTTTCCTTCAGCATCAACCGTACCCCTTCTCTAGCTTGGGATGACTCGTTGGCGACGTTTTCACTATACACGCCCGCCTGTCCGTAAACTGTATACTACACTATCGACAAGCTATACACACGCACACCCCTCACACTATATACCGGGTTGCGCTGGCCATTCTAACCCACTGTCATCTCTTTTTATCCAAAATATGAATGCATGCAATTTAAATAAATAATATATTGTTTCGTAGAGATAATTTATAGGGTACATTATTACAGATTCGGATTAATGGCTTTTCGTTGTAAGCATACAGTGACTAAATTGTTTACAAATATGTGTATTGATGAATGACGTAATGACATACAGTACGTCCATCATCTATTTCATTCCTAACACTCTCCTTCGTCGCCATTGACCTCACCGGACCAGTGACTTTCCTAATACACAACACACGGAAGTCCACTCACGTTTTACTCGGTAAAACTTTATAAGTAGAAAACCATCATAAGTCCATTGCCTCACTTGCCCTATTTCAAATTACATTCCCGGAATTCTGTAAATATTTACATGGTGTACCTAAATCTTACCGACTGTGTATACAAGTGACAATATGCCATACAGATTCGGCGGAAAGATGTTATCATGAAATGTATGTAGTAATTCGTTGTCAAATTTAGATGACGAGAATTAAATATACAATGTTTGAACGAGATAAAAAAAAAAGATTTCTTCATTTCTCGAAGTTCACCCTTTAATTTCCGTGTCATTCCTGACTATCCTAACCCCTGACGATTTGTGTTTCCAAGGAAAGCTGAGAGATTGACTTGTCTTTGTTGTCGTGGTTATGGTCTCTGGCAAGACACTTTACACAGATAGCTCTAGGTAACATGTAATGGACCTCCCGTGTGTTGTTCAGTGAGGTAACAAGTCGCTTTAAATGTTCCCTACCCAATAATACCCTGACTGTTCACGGGTCGATAAATCCAGTAGACACTCTACTGGTTACTGAACACGATTGGCTTTTTAGAACATCTTTTTCTTAGATATGTCGCTGTCAGAGTATTTTTTTATGATTACTTACGAAATCCAAAGTATTTTGCTCACAATTTTCATATATCTGTTCTTACCAGTGATTATATAGTGAGTGAAACCTTGGATTGTGAAGTTGTATGAAAACATGCCCTTACCTTGCATGCACTTAAATCCAACACCATCACTAAAACGTGACTAGTCAGACATCGTAGAATAGTTTTTCCCTGCAAAATATGTTTTTTAATATGATAAGAAAAATCTGGCATCATTTTTCAGCTTGTAGTCTGTTTCATCTCGCTCTGTTTAACACGAATGCGTTTGTCCTTCAATCGTAAGACATACCTGTTTACTATATAAAGTTGAACATATCTAAGACATTATATCCGTGTAACTCTCCTTTGAAGGAGGTGAGTTTCCCAATGCCATGTCTTCCTCGTCAAAGCACGTGAAATAATTATTAGAAGTGACTTGGCAAGATTAGTGTTGGATAAAGACACTCCCGAGATTCTGTTTGCTACTACATGCTTTTTATAGTCATGAAACTGTGGAAATAAATTTTACAGTGAAAACTTAGTGAAGAGTAAATTATAAGTGTTGAGAGATATTATGTGTTTGTTAATGTGTTCCTTGTCAGCGAACGTGAAAGAAGATAAATCTTGTTTTCATCTCGCTCTGTTTAACAGCGATGAGTTTGTCCTTCAAACTAAATGTAGTTAACTTAACTAGAAAATCCCCTTTTTTATTTTTACAGCCTCTAATTATCTTTGAATGGAAAAGAACACAATTAAGTTTATTACATATCGAAACAATAGTCACTGGTTGACTGATGTAATAACAAATACCCCATTACCTACAAAACTCAAATAGGAGGGTTTCGAGAGATGCAAGTTGATGAAGATTAAGTGGAGATGTTACGGTGGTCAGAATATTTTCACTATGAAATATTCTACTTCCTTGTGCGAAATGAAGTTAGACTGGTTGGGTTCTTGAACTAAACATTCTGTCTCTGTCGTCTTTTTATCTTTGTTCTCATTTGGGAACGTGACATCACTTAACTGCGTCGACAAAAAATTACATAGCAATAGATTGTAATGTCAGCGTTGAATCAGAAGACGGTTATCATTCTAGAACATCTGGTCCTATTTTCATTGTAATTGTTAATGAATATCTGTGTAAGTTCTTTATATGTTTACATATTGTCTTCATTTTATTGAATTAGAGTTTAAATAAAGATTCTGCTAAATTGTCAGTACTTTCTAAGTTGTTTTTGAGTCACCAGTGACGTGTCTTTACCTGTGGTAACTTGTTTTGTGTGTTTATCAAGTATCTAGACTTTTCACATTGAAAGTAGGGCGTGCTGTGTATACTGAGATAACAATCATGGAAAAACATTTTTCATTATACAAACCTATTCCATATTTAAAAACTTGTTTTTGATATACCGGTGGAATTTTAACTTGTATAAAGCATGAAAGCCAATTCGAAAGATTACTTATCTCAAACTCCGACGCATTAACGATCAAAAGCAAAACCTGGAATATCTGCCAAAAGTATAATGTTGACGATATATTACCATAATTGGACACTACACGCTAACACGTCTAATTTGGCTGCTACCACATACATGATATATATATATATATATATATAGGTGTAGATGGTACACATGATCACGGGTCAGTATGGAAACTTACAGCAGTTTTAACAATGTCTGTCTGTATAAACGTATTTCCATTCATCAGTTGATTTTACTACAATAAATCCATACATTGTATATTGATCTAAGTCATTAAATTCGCTACATTTGAATTAAGTGTAATTGAAGGCCATTTTCACCATTCCTAAAATAATGCCTGCTGGAAATATTTATCGGTCAGAAACTATGAATCCAGGAACTCATATGACAGTCGTTATACGAAAAATAACATCCGTGTGGCAAAAACGGTATTATGTATTTACACACAAGCAAACCCTAAGGCTTACATCAAAGTGGAATCGAAAATCGACAGAGAAATAATTCTGATTTATGGAAATGAAATCGTTTAGTAGACCATATCTTTATGTGTTTTGTTTGTCCGTTCCTGAGGGCAAAGTTTGGTTTACGGGCGAAATCGGAAGATATTTAAAGTATAGACCTTAAGGTTAATATAAAGCAGTTCCTTGTAGGTTATATACAGTGTACGGTCATTGTGTCTATCACTTCATATTTACAATTCATGCAACATGCAAAAGCTGTATTGGATATAAACAATCAGGCTTCAGTTCTCAACCATAACTACCTTCATTAATCTGCCGCTGATCCGGTTGACCCATCAACAACCCTGTGGCACCAATCCGGTTGACTCGTGCCACCAAAATGGTTGACTCAAGAGAATATTTCATTAATCTGTAACAAGCTGATTCCAGTAGACATATCTAACATTTCGTTAGCCCTGCCGCCCCTAATCCGGCTGACTCTCGAGAACATCTTGTTTAACTAGGTGCCACTAATCCGGCTGACTCTCGAGAACATTTTAATAAACTAGATGCCGCTAATCCGGCTGACTCACGAGAACATTTGATTAAACTAGATGCCGCTAATCCGGCTGATTCACGAGAACATTTTATTAAACTAGATGCCGCTAATCCGGCTGACTCACGAGAACATTTTATCAAACTAGATGCCGCTAATCCGGCTGACTCAGGAGAACATTTTATTAAACTAGATGCCGCTAATCCGGCTGACTCAGGAGAACATTTTATTAAACTAGATGCCGCTAATCCGGCTGACTCACGATAATATGTGGTTAATCTCGTTGGAAATAACGTTGGAATTGGTTTACAAAGAAGACACGATTTCCTAACGCTTTCTACTTTAAATAACTTAATAAAATTCAAAACATATAACAGAGGTCATTATTAATTTCAATGCTTCTATTAGGATTCGAACCCGGGACCTCTGGCTTACAAGTCTGACGCTCAAACGATCAAGCTGAAGTGCAATTATCTGGTACTACACACAGTACCTTACTGTCCAGATCTCGGAGTATTGCTGTACAGACATAACCATTGTGCTGTTACATGAATCTGTCACTAACCCGGTTGACCGATTTAAATATTTCGATCACTTCTCCATTCCATCCACTTTAATGGTTCATCAGTCAGGTTGGCACTTTTTTCTTTGGCTTTCTATAATTCAGTTGTCCCCAACGTAAGACAATTTTATTAATTGAAAGAGCATAACAATTCCATTTATTCAGTCCTCTACAACTCCATTCACACATGTTTATAAGCATTTGAAAATGCCCTTTTTTCTTGATACATATTCTTGAATTAGTTCTCGAATTGCCTTTCAGATAATCCTTGGATTGGTTCTCGATGTCGAATTCGAGATATGCATTGAAACATTTCACGAAACACCACCTTCGAAACATATATTGAGACATTTTTTCTAAAAATGACTTCGACAATTCCACAATTTAGTTCTCGATGTTGTTTCAGAGGTCTTCAACAGTTCCTTGAAATAGGTTTTCAACTATCGTCTGATTCCATCCAAAAAATTGTAAATAATATAACAGATGGTATTCATCCTTTTCTCGATCTAGTCAGGCACTAACGTGACTCTTTAAAATGGATAAAATAACGAGGACATGCCAAGTGTATCAAATAAATCGTATGTCGCTCCGCTAGTTGTTTTTAGTTTCCTCAGTAAACATAGCAGTGTTCCACTATTCGCTTTCATATCACTCACTTGGATACTGTTGGAGTTATTACCCTTGATTTACACTGCTTTCGCGATCGTAAAAAAATGATATATTTTCAACAAAAAATGGTGGTTGGTTCAAATCGAATTCAATGAAAATTTTACAATCTTATGTCAGTTGTCTTCCTTTACAGTAGATATTAGAAACTTTACTTCAACAAAGTGCAAACTATTATTGTGTGTACTCGCTGTCACTTACGATCTACAAACAACCGGTACTCATTGTTCGCCCGTTATAGAATATAACTTGTAATGAGGTTGATATAGTGGGTTTGCCCTGCAGTATTACAATTGTGTAGTCCATTTTAACTGGGTCACCAGTATATGTATATATCCGGTCTAACAAGTACTATCATTGTGCAGCAAATGTATATAATATAGACATCAGGGTAAACATGTTAAATCATAACACGAGTTATGTCCCTTGTACCGCATCTCGAGCGAATATAGATGCAGTAATTGGAATCTTGATATTTTGCTTTCTTTCTTTTAGTGTTTTGTTTTCCACTCTGAGCTTTTCTTTTGATACCCATCCTCATATGTTTCCTGCTATTGCAAGGACGTTAGATCTCGTAAAAGAAAACTAAATATCAGAGAGACGAATACTGTGTTTTGGATGCGTAAAGCACAAGTTCTTCAAGAGCAAACCTAAGAAATCACTGTAGGTAGGCCTATATTCGAGATTTTTTGATCGATAACGTCCGTAATCACAAGTTTAAAACACGAAGACATTGGCAGATTCACGTTCATTTTTTAATACAGAATGATAAACACGAATATAAAAATATATAATAAGCTGACATCAGCAGTGGAAATATCAAAGTTGGAGGTCAAATGAATTACACAAGAAAACTAATTACACAAGAAAACTAATTACACGATCTATATGTGTGAACTGTAATACACAGAGGCACGGTTTCGGTAAAATTAACACAGTACTGAACATTGCAACATTTGATCTATTATTTACTTATTACTAGTACAGTTATTTAACGATTTAAAAATTATCATTCAGATCGATATATGTAAAAGATGTATCACTGACAATGACTAAGATTAATTGAAAAGATAAACACAAATGTAAAATAAAAAAAAAATCTTCAGCGCCACCAAAAATTACAAACGCTCAGGGATGCATTTAGCTAGACACAAAACAACAGGTCAATTAAAATAAAGTAAAGAATGGAATTTGAAAGTGACTTAGCTAAACATCAGCTTTTACATATAATGGTATAGGGAGCAAGTGTTTATTGATTACAAATTCACTGCTATATCGATAAATACACAAAACAACCCCGCAGAACCACTGAAGTGAAGTAAACAGACAATCACGATCCTCGTTCTCATGTCGAAATTGACATTACTTGTCACTTAAATATTTGATTCATTATTGATTTTTTAAGCATCGTATATTTGGATTTTGCTGATTCCATAATTTAAACTCTGTCAACGTGAACTGAATTACAACATCTGGGTTGGGATACACACAGGTGTACCGTTATTACATGTATATACGTGAAAAAAGACACTCAAAAAGTAGGTCACGGAATACTCACAGTTGTAAGTCTACACATCCACACGATAGTGGTACTCATAGATTAGTAATACAGGACGTACATCGAACATAGATACATAAAATATACATCACATTCAATATTGTAGCAATGAAATGGAATGTTTTTACGATGTCAAGTTCTCGGCTCCCGATTCAGTGATTTGTCTCTTTTATAGTCTTGTGATATTTTTATTCAAATGAATTTGTCAGTGAGTCTTCAGGATCATCTTCACAAATTCTGAAAAAAACAATGTTTTATACGTTTGTGAAATATTTAACCCATTGCTTACTGTTAGTGGTCTATAAATTACCTAGGTATCCACTAGAATGGCACTGCCGGCACTCTGTAACTTATACGTACAATAGACAGAATTATTTTTACAATAGTGACCAGACAGCCTTCAACTTCAACTTTTCAATATGTGCAGTTGAACTTCGTTATTTCGAAGCCGGCGGGACCGTTGGAAAACTTCGAGTTATCCGAGTATTCGATTTAAGTGAGATCGAATTTGTAATGAAAAGTAAGTCTGTAATAGACGAAATACTTCGAATGAAACGGTATCATCGAGTTACACAAATTCGAGATAACGAAGTTCGACTGTATTTACTTTTATCGAAAAACTCATATTTGGAACAAAATTTTATCAATAATTATATGTGTCGTGTTTACTTGGAAGGTATTACCATTATGAATTTAGCTAATAGTTATTTGAACTTAAATTCTGGTGTAGTGCATGCAGACATAATTATACCTTTGTAATCTATCCTTTTATCGCCGTTTCTGTCCGCTTCGCCAATCATTTCATTCACCTCTTCATCCGTCAGCGTTTCACCGAGATTATTCATCACCTGCCGAAGTTCGTCGCCGGTGATAAAACCATCACCATCCTTGTCGAACACGGCGAAAGCCTGGCGCATCTCGTCCTCATAGGTGGAAGAGTTCTGGTTCCGGTTTACCATCATAGTGAGGAATTCTGGGAAATCTATCGTCCCATTGCCTTAAACGGAAATAGAGGATTCATCGATTTACTCTATCGACAGTGTCGTTTATTCAAAATGATACTTTGTAAATACTTGATGATAGAAAAAATATTATTCAAGTTCATTATCGACGACACGAAAAATAGGAACTTAACAGGCATGAAAAGAAATTGAAAGAAAATATCATAAACTAAGAAGCAACCAAAATCTAAATGGAAAACAACACCTGGAATTTAAGAACGTAAGAAAAACGACATCACGAAAATGAAAATAAATTGATAATAAAACAATAAATAAATTCAGAAAGAAAAAGACATTAAAGAAAAAATCCAACAACTGTTATACAAATACAAATAAACGAAAACTAGCGAATTGTGATGACTCATCGCAAACTTCACCATCAGCATCAATGACTTTTATCATGTCAGTCAGTTCCTTCTCAGTCGGGGACTGCCCCAAGGCTCTCACAACCGTCCCTAGCTCTTTTGAAGAAATGGTTCCATCCCCATCCTTATCTATCAGACCGAAAGCCTCCCGGTATTCTGTAAGGGAGATAACTCTGATTTAATATATCTTATTGGGTACTTTAATTAACTAAGCTTGTTCACGGATAACAATATATCGTTAGTATGATCTTCTGTCGACTACTTGTTAACATTATCGATCACCTGCTTGAAAAAAGGAGAAAAATCCAACTGATTATATCGTTTTCCTATGGTATACACCATACTTTGTTTTTATTCCTTTGCATGGCGTTAACGTCAGTTAAACACAGATGAAACAACAAAACTGTTTATGTTTCAATAGTCTGACTTTCAATCAATGTTGCAGGGTAAATAGAAGACATGGTCAATGTCTTCAAATATAAGCTGTATTTTGGCTCGGGACAGAAAGATAAAAAAAGGTGGTTCGCCACTTTTGTCATTCTTCATCCTCGCCGAAATACAGCATATATTTTAAGACATTGACCATGTACAATCTATCTCCCAGTAATCATCAGGAAGTTATGTTCTCAGCCTTGGTATTGTGATACTGCTATAACACTGAGGTATCGATTCGTTTTCTATGATTTCCGTGTTATTTTACAAATATTTAGACTGATTTGATGACAGTTGCCTGTAGCATACTCGTTACAAGGTTAAACAGGCTTTCATTATATCTCGGATGTAGATATAATTATATAGTAATGCAACTTTTGATTTTGGTTTTAGTCAACAACCATATATTTGTTTTGTAGGTATAAAAATATTTACAACTGCCTCTGTTTCTGAACAATAACCAAATTAAGGCCCAGTTCACCGCGTATGCATACATGTACGGGCGCATCACATTCAAATGTCCGCGGTACACTGTAATTAGTATTTTCTACCGAAGTATTTTGCTCAAATAACTAATTTCATAGCAAAAAAAATATAACTTTTCTCATTATCTAACACTACAATTATGAAAGCATTGCAACAATTAAAAATAGATATTTGTATGAGGAAAAATTTATCGAAATGTGGGAACTTTTTCTTTTGTTGTCAATTAGTGAATTTGGCAATCAGTCAAAGCCTTTCCTAAATAACTGTTTCGTATAGATTAACTTGACGTCGAGATCATTTTGAGCGTAGATTACAAATGGTAAATGCTTGTACTGGCTCATTGCATGGTGGTTTTTGTAAATATACGCATTAATCTTTTGTTTACTTTATAAGGTCGTAAACTAAACTATATATATAACAGTAATAGTTTCAGATTTGAATTTCCCGTTGAAATTGTACCTGCTTTTAATACACATATATTCTATGTACAATTCGTATCCATGAATATATATACATTGCGATCCAGGTGTTCATATCACAAAATAGACTATTTACCACTATGATCTTGTCTTGAAATTCCAGTATTAACTTCCTTAATTGGGGATGTCGGGTGGTACAGTTGTCCATTTCATTTGGCAGCGCGATGTTGTGCCGTAGATTGTGGGTTCGAGACCCATATTTCACAGGAATCGAAAATAGTTTTCTTTCGTCACTTGTGTTACCATGTTTCAATATATATATATATCGAAATTGGACGTTCGTAATTACTTTTTGCTTCAAGTTTTGTTTTTACCAAGTGCGACCAATAGCTTTTTCAGTGATATTCTCGTGATATATGCTTGGTTTAAAGAGCCAAACCCACTCTGTTATAGATATTTTTTTTCAAATTTTATTGATTGGAAATGTCGTTGTATACTAATAGATAATAGAGAAATAAAGACGTGTATAAAGTTTCGAACTTGAAATTGAAAGGGTACCAGAGAAGTCACGTGATACGTTCAGACGCGGTCAGAACCAAAACAAAAGTGGAGAAAGAGGTGAGTACGTCCATGTGACATCGCGTGTAAAGAGATTTTACCGATAAATGCAATCAATATCCTGTTTGGAAACGTATGTTATGATCACATCTTTCAATGCTTAGATATGACACAAAAACGTGCAGATTACGAGAAAAACTACGATTAATTGCAAAGAGGCCCTCAAATGGGGGCTACGGTACGGTAACGAACATATAGAACATCGCGAAATTAGTTTAGTTTAGTTTAAACATATTTTATTGCCAAAATATTGCAAGAGGATTGGGCACAAGTTCCAAGAACTTATAATCGCCCGCTCCTAATTATTAAACACATACATATGTACACGACATCATAAGATGGCAGATAAAATTAGAAGATAACATGATAATTTATATTGAGAGAGAGAGAGAGAGAGAGAGAGAGAGAGAGAGAGAGAGAGAGCTTCATCTCTTTGAATAATAGTAATGATAATGAAATAGTTGAAATGATTTGCATACACACATACACACACTAACATCACTAGATCTATATACATGTATGTGACTAGTTGCATACAGTACAGTCAGCACAGTGATACACTGTCCGCTATTCATTTCCCTCAGCTGTTCAAATGTTCATCACATCCCAAGCTAAAGTGGCGTTCTCCTTTTGTTTCCTTGCATTCTTAGAATTTCCGTTTCCACCGTGCCGACTGAGACTGTATGCAACACATAATTTAACAACTATTTACGAAGGGATCATACATACAAATTCGCTCACATACAAAACCATTCCAGCAGACGACACTCTACTCAGACTCACTCTACTAAAACATAAAGTAAGAATATAACAAAAACATAATGGTGAAATTTAACAGCTTTGGCAGAAGGAACCAGACTTACTGATGAAGATGAGACACACGGGCTTTGACTAGTTAAACCTGTGAGTGCTCGAAATAAACTGTTGAGCATTAAGGAATAATTCTTCATTTTCATTGTACGAATAATCCTCGTTACCAAATAATAATTTATCTGAACTAAGTGGTAAAAATGTATGGAGGTTTCGAACATTCGTAATCGTTGTCGAGTAAATCTATTGCAGATGAAAAAGAAATGATGAGAGTTTTCATAACCAAAGCCGCATGCACAGTTTGGAGAATCAGTTAGGTTGGCATTAAATAGATCGGCATTTAATGCACTACAATTATGACGGAGTCTAGTTAACAAGATATTTGTTTTTCGATCATCAGACAAATAAAAATCAGGTACTCTGATTGGCTCATTTTTTATACGAAGACATTCTCTAAAGCTGTTGAAAGTGGGTTTACTTCGAATGTTAGGATCAAGTTCGTTCCATGGTCTTATAGTAGAGGGTATGAAAGAATTTTTAAAAGTTTGTAGACGAGTATATAGAATGGAGTATTCATCATTATTTCTTAAATCATATGGAGTAATGGTGGAAACTAGAGGCGGGAGAATGTCATTTAGATAAGAAGGGGCTATATTGTGGATTTTGTAAAACAGTTGCAGTTTGCGACGGGTACGTCGTTGGGACAATGATTCCCATCCAGTTTCGAAATGGATCTACCTAAAGCGAATATTCGATGATAAGAGTATTTATGAATATGATTTTAGAGTGATACTACACGGAGAGAGCCAAACAGAGAGCGATACAGAGCATGAACCAGACGGTCGAGGGCGCGGAACGAGAGAAATAACCCAAGGGAGAGGCAGAGGCACGTTTTCTTCCCCGCTTCCCTCGCACGCTTTCTGCCATGTTGGAAGACGGCAGATTTATTCACAGTTCTTTGCGCATACGTCAGAGGGCAGGACTTCCCGCATAATTATGAATTAGCACTGAGTCGTTTCGAATTATTTTTTAAAACTATTTATTACGTTAGATTGGTAGGGATTTACTTTAAAATTGCGGTATTACAGGGTTAGTCAGAGCTTTTGTTACCCGAGAAAAATAGAAAATCATGACTTTTTTTTGGATATCAAATAATATCGGTCTAGGAGTGGGTCTGGCTCTTTAACAATGTTGTATCAATCACAAGCTTCGCATTATATTATATTAACATTAGATGTGTACACACTTGATTAAATCAGAGTTGTAATATTATCCAGACATTGTCTAATTATGCTACAATGCAGAAATGATAATTAGATGGAGAATAATATTATCAGCTTATGCTAATTTTCCTTTGATGTTTTTGTGATTAATACGTTTTATGCGATTCTTTCGTTGTTATTGTATCACACTCCCACGCCTATCAACAAATGGTAAGTCATGATGTGCACGTGTACACGTACACCATGTCACCTAGACCACACATAAAATCTATATTGTATATATTAAATTATCTGTTTCATAACTTCATTTACGCAGAACTGAAACACTGGTTCTTGCCGGGAGATTCGGATTGTCATAAAACTATGTTCCCACACTCTAATTGAGTATACCATTAAAGCGTCATCAATTATCTTGTCGGGGGCCTTTTTTCCCTTACAACTGTCATGCATCTTTGATAATCACGTGACACAGAGCAAGTTTTTGCTTTACCTAGCCTGTCCAAATATGATAAGGAAAGTGACAAGAAAGCACATGTACTGTTAATTGCTAGCATATCGATAAGATAAATGTTTATATAGCTGATCAAAGTCAATGCTTAGTTTGGTTTTGAGTTTAAGCTGAACACAAATACTGAATAATTTATAATAAATAAATATTTAACGAAACATTGATTTAGTATGAGCCCAAGATGAGGAAAGTGATAAGAAAGCAAATGTACTGTTATTTCCCCCAATTACCACCATATCGATATAAATGTTGCTTATGTGTCTGTACAGAGTCTGAACGAAAACTAAAACTAATTACAACCAATAATAGATAACGAGGGAAAATTTGGAACAATGAAGTGAAAACATGAAAAGCATATTTTAAAAAAATCATGTCAACATAATCATAATCCAATTCCAATTAAATAAAACTGGTACCGGCCATAAGGGTAGCACCGCAATGTTTAAAGTCTGGCTCCCTTATAACATACAATTTATTGACTAAACAAATATTTTACTAAAGTGGAAATAACAGGCGGTTACACCGCTTTTGTACTAAACAATTTAATCAATATATCGGAGAATACTACACACACATGCATGCATGTTACAGACAACACGTGCATTATACTAACTACATCGACATACATACGTGTATCTTACACCTTGCAGCACTGTATAC